AGCAACTTGGCTTTGGCTCTGCTGCATAAGCCTCTCCATTCTTACCACCTTTGACTCTTCTGTCTTTCTCTTACACACACACACACACACACATACGCGCACACACCTTCGGTCTCTTCTCTCTCTCTATCTGTCTACTTCTCTCCAAACACCTTGTCTCGTCGTTCTTACTCGGGATATTCGTAAAGTGTTACAGGACGCACTGCGGCCGCGGCGACTTGTCTTCCGACTTAATCGGCCAATTCAAGTCTTACTCGCCTTCCTCTGAAGTCGTTCATCTCCTTCCCTTGCCCTCCGGCTCAGCAACAATCGGAAGGAAAGATACATCAGATACAACTACCTCACCCAAGTCGTCGTATCTCACACCCCCTTGCCATCCGCCTAGGTATCCTGCCTCCATCCATCGTCGACGCCAACACAAGCACAAGCCCACCCTCCATTGCAAGAGAGACACTCGATCGCCCACTCACACTCAGTCTCTCACACCCACGTCAATGTCCACACCCATCAATCATCTGTCGCCTGCATCTCGTCCATTCTTGTCCACTACGCCTTCTTTACCAGACAGCCGGTTGCCAACCAGGGAACCCCCATCTTTAGACATTGCCTTGCAGATCGCTGCATAACGTGCCTCGTTCGGCCGGGTGTCAGCTTCAACCTCATCTCCCCAACTCCAGATCCAGCTCGAGGTTCTCGACGTCGTTCAACATCCATATCCGTACCTTATTCGGATTCAAAGCTCCATCTCGCAGCTCCATTCCGCTACAGTCGAACCCGTTCCGCTGCGGCCGCTACTTTACTCTGCCGGTGCCGCACTTTTACTCTTTTGGCCGCAATCCTCTTGCTGGGCTGCCACGCGCATTGGACCGGGACAATCCTTTTGGAGAAGACGAACTTGTCGGCAGGCATTGAGCCAGTTCGGCCTCTTCACTTACTTTTTTTTTTTTGGAGGTAAAACCACTTTTAGATTACATCTGGGTCTTTCTGGCGCGGTACGAGGTCCAGCTTGTTTCTCTTTGGGGCCATCTAGCCGCACTTGGATTGAATCTGCCCTACCTTACTCCACGGAACGGATACTTCCTCGACCACGGCGCTCTCTGCCGGGTTCATTACTCTTTTGCTCTGCATTACACTACAATCAACCGTCCGGTAGTGGTACTTGTTGGGCTCCTCTCGCTCGCCATTGTCTCTGCCACTGGCTTCGGGTCTTCTTTTTTAGTCTCATCCGTCCCCTCCTCCCGGCACAGACTTCCTTGGGCTTGGTCTTCCTGGCTTCCATCATTGGTCTGTTCCCCTTTGGATTAGAAGGCAAGTGCTTGCTTGTCTCTTTTTTCTCTCTCACTCTGGCAGCAGCTGCTTGTCTTCCCGCCTCACCTTAAGTTCCCGGGCCTCACTCTCACTCGCACACACTCACACACACACACACACACATATTTCCAAGTATCAATGTCACTCACTCACTCACACCCACGTACCTAGTTACCCCCATTTTAGTCCAGGTCTCTTTGGATTATCGTTGCTTTTTTTTTTTTATCTGCCCTCTTATTACTTTTTCTTCTCCCCTCACTCCCTACTAACACCCTTCCTTTAATTCTGATCCTGCCAGCATCGACCCATATCTGCATCCCTCCCATGTTATGAGACCAACCCCGAGACTACCGTTCACATCTTCCTCCACACCAATACCCCGAACCCGCCCCATAACATCTCTCTCATCGTCACAAGCTTACCCAGTTCTTCCCTGTCAGGCAAAAACAGAACCCCCTTCCCCTCTCCAAGGCTACATAGACTCGCGTCTAGCCTCGCAGCACTAAGCTACGAGCAGCAAAAGTGGTCCTCGGTCTTGGTCCATCCACATCACGAGCCTCACCACAAGCCCCATATCCCCAACCCAGCACACGGCCGCACAGCCTCTTACGGCTCAAGGCTCAAGCCTCGGGTCACCAACCTCATCTCAAGACCAGATCGGCCCGCCCGACGCTCGCTCTTGCTCTGACGAATCGCATCTTGCGTCAAGCCGACTCGGTGGTCGCTGAGACCCTGGTGCGGCTTCATTGCCCAAGCAGATCGCGCAGGGACCGGCTTGTAATGTTTGGACATCGTGGTGCATGCGCCATCTGGGATCTTCCTGGTATCAAACCTGACACCAGTTTGACAACTCAGCGCGATATCCACCCCATTCGCTGGCTTTTTGTTTACCAAAATCTAAACTTCTCTGACGACTCACAAGACACCAACGACTCGTCGCCAGTCTTCGTCTAGTCTTCCCGAACCTTCAGGCGTCAGGGCATGAAGTAGACCGGCGCTAGCTTCGCCGAGCTGGTCGCGACAAGCAAGTCTGAACAGTTAACTTCCTTGTTCTCCCCATCCTTTACTCTATCCGCCGTCTTCCCTCCCAATTCAATTCATAAAAGCCACTTCTATTACCCGCCGCCCGAGAAATCTGCCAGCCCATCCCGTGCTGCCCTCTGCCCGGCTCGACATCAGACAGAACCTACATCGGCATCACACATCAGGCTCTCCGACCCCCAGGTCCAAGTCAACGCTTCCTTACCTTTGTCTCTTTTGACATCTTGCATTCCATCGGCACCGACCTTACCTCGCAAATTATTAGACTCGCGACGTTACTACCCGCCGGTGCCGCCTGTTCGAGTCCTGACCTTCCTATTTTCACTTCGCGACACGTCGACTACTTGTCTTGCTTCGCGGAGGCATATACACCTGGAGGAACCAGCTCCCAGCGTCGTCCGTTGTCGTCGGCAAAGAAAATTCGTCATACGCCACCGACTGGCTATTCTCGACGCGCTAGTCCCGGAGGAAGACAAGGCAAGAGAGAGAGAAACGCAATAGCGTTTTAACGGACTCCAACACGACAATTGGACGGTCTTGTGACCGGTCCGACGGCCCAAACTGGCCTTACTGTATACATCGCCAGCTCCGTTGCCGCCGGCGCATACGGTAGGCTTGCCCTCGGAGCCGACCGGCGACCAAACCCCTCGTGGGATGGATGATCCCAATCGCCATCGGAGGCAGAATGAAGCGCCCATGCATCCCACCTCCAACCCAAGATATAACGTACAACAGCAACAAGACCCTTTGCAGCAGCGCCGCACCATGGCTACAGGTTCGACAGAGCGATATAACCGGCCAGCGCCGCTCAACACTTCGCCCTCGCAGGCGCGAGGCATGGGAAGCACGGGTAGTTACAGCACGTACAATTACCAAGAGCCGGTAGCAGGCTCTTTCAACGCGCCCATGGCGACGAACACGATGCATTACCCCTCAGGATATAGCCAGGACGGCCGTCCGGCGCAGAATTTTGGTGGATACAACGCGGCCATGACAATGGGATACGACAACTTGACTGGCGCGACGGGCTCCGTTTACGATAATCAGGCGCAATTCCAACGGCAGCCTGCAGCTGCTCCGATCTTGCCGACGGACGTGTCGACGTCGTACTTCTCCAATGACCCGAGCAGTAGCACAGGAACCTCCAACCTTCCCCATGCGCAACCAGCGAGCGCCACGGCGACGGCATATCAACAGCCACAGATGGCCAACTACCAGGCGAACATCCCTAACGTGGCCGGGATGCCGCAGCAGACTTCGAGTGCCGACGTTTCAATGGAAGAGCAGGACTATTCTGCCACGGGCGGTCTGGAAGAAAAATGGATGGAATACCAGTCTGCGCTGCGGGGTGTCTTTCAAAATGTCCGCAATGGTGTCCTAGAGAGCGCCAGCCAGTCGCTGCTGGATGTGTCAAACTGGCTCCTGACGCAGGTTGTCGATCTCGGTATGTTGGGTCTTTTCCCCCCCTCTTCCCTGTTACTCGCGCCAAGCTTTGGATTGGAGTTTCGAGTTCGTCTGGGTCAGGTTTACTAATAGGATGATAATTCACAGGCCTTAACCTAGACGACCAAAATTTGCATGGAGACCGAATCAAACTCTGGAACGACTTCAATCACGCGTGGCTCTCACTATTCCTGATGCAGAAGGATTTGATGGAGCCGGGCAGACAGCTGCAGCGATCGCAGACCTTGGTCCCCAAAGAAGGCTTGGAAAAAATGGGCAAGGAGCTCGTCCGGCTCTGCGACGGCATTGAACGACACGGTCTGGTCGACTACCAATACGGAGTGTGGGAGCAGCAGATCATAGAGAGTAAGCCCCACGCGATCCCAACCTTGTACGCTGTGTGAGGGAAGGCATCAATGCTGACAGCTCCATTACTAGTCATCGAGGCTTGTCTCGACCAGTACGAAGCAAACGAAGAGTCGAGCGGCAACGGCGGCGGCGCAGCTCAAACGGGGTCCGGCTCTCATCAAGGGAGCAGATAAAGGAAGACTTGGGGTTAGTCGGCTGCTTCGCCCTGAGATCAAATCCCAAGAAACGAACATCTCAGGGCAATGTCTAGATGCCCGTAGACGTATTCATGGTGGCGCCTGGGCGGTCGGCTTTTGTGGGCGGCCTCATCTTATTCTCTTCCCCCCCCCCCCCCCCCCCCAAAGTACATTCTCGGCATTTGGAAACGTCTTGTCACGAGAGACGGAGGCCTAACACGATGTTACGCGGATTTTGGAGTTCTTCAGGGAGGATAACTGCTCTCATCATCATTCTCACCCATTCCAACAGGTGGTTGGGCAGGCATCAGGTATCTATGTCAGCATCCTCAATGGGCTAACCATTTGTGGTTTTCTTCTCTATTTTTTCTTCTTCTTTTCCTCTTTTTTCTTAACATATCTCTCGATACTTTCTTTTTCTTCTTTCTTTGCAGGATGTCTCCGCTCTCCTGCCGGCGCCCTGTCCATGTGCTTGTAGGCCAAGCTTCGGCTAGGCTGAACCTGCCAAGGTCAAATCGCAGACAGGAGACGGTGGTACAAACAGCTAGGATGACAGAAATCCAAAGACGGGGAGAGAGATGTGGGTGGCGGGTTTTGGGCTTCTTCTTTTTTCCCCAAGCCCAGGGGGTGTGTTTGTCTATATGCGGTAGGGGGGGGGGGGGGGGGGGGGGGGGGGTGGTGTAAAGAAAAACCTAAGGGATGGGGATTTTACGGAGGGACGGTCATAGATGGGCGTACCAGGAAAGCAATTCGGGAGGAATGACGAACGATGAAATGCGCGGCGCGGATGGCCCACCAGACAACGCTCAAAAAGTGAGGCCGGATACTCGCAAACGAAGGGATGAGAAACAAAAACGGAAGGAAAAAAACTCGGAATCAAAGAGAAAAAAAGGGCATCCGAGTTGCGCGTCTGTGAGAGTGTGGGATGCTGGTTGTACGTATGTACGTGTGTATGTCTCTCTCTTGTTTTCCCTGTTGTAGAAATCATGTATACCTATGGTATTGTAGTAGATCAGGCCTGGATGCTCTCACGAGCTTTGCGTCGTTGCGCAAAAAAATTGGGTGGTGGGGTTCATCTCTTGTTTTCTTGTTCTTGTTTCTTCTATTCGTTTCTTCGGGTTCTTCTTTTCTCCCTGTTTGTCAGTTATTTTTGGTTTTTGTAGGACCTTTTTTTTTGTTCTTCTTCTGCCCGAAGTAACTTCGGCAGCTGTATGTATGTATGCACGTACCTGTCTGTACCTTGTTACCATCAATCAAAAGAGACGGATGATGCATAAACAATGATGCGCAATGCGAGGCAAGGCAATAGCAATGCCACCAGATGCCGGTCCAAGATGCCGTGCAAGTATGCAAGATACGCCCGGGGTGTGATATGCAAAGAGAATAAGAAAGAAAAAAGGCAACTAGCGAAGGAACAGTAACCCAGCTTTCTGCCCAGCCAAGCCAGCTGTGTCCTTTCTTCATAGTTGATTGCTTGCTTGGTGTAATAGCCGGCCAGCTCGGCGTTTGAAGACTGTTGGACGTCGAACATCTGTGGTTGTTGGAAAAAAAACGCTAGCCTCGGCCGGCGCCTCACCGTCGATCTTTCTGCCCTACGCTTATTTGATAAGAACAATACTGGGCAATATGCGGGCAAGGCCCCTTGAACATGGCCTTGTAAGCCTCATGCGGGTGATCAAGTGGCGGGCACACACCACGACGCAGTTTCGGGGGAGAGGGGTGGGCGGCGGTCAAACCGACCCACCGCCGCCGCCACGCGAGAAATGCGGGCTCGGAGGCCCGGGCAAATGGATTGGAGGAAAACAGTCCGGGGCAGACGTCGGAGAGGGGGGAGGGATGAAGGGAAGGGAGACGTGGGAGTCTGGGAGAGAGGGGGAGGGGTGGCATCTGATCGCAAAAGTCATTCCTGCCCAATCGGCCTGTCTAGGGCTGGCTTTGATAGGCGGTGTATGTGCCTTACCAACAAGATTGACTGGTCGGCCTGAAGATGACGACTGTGTTAATCTGCGCCGATCTCCCGCCTTGGAGAAGGAGGCTAGTGACGCAAGATGGAGAGCAGTCTACTGCAAAAGTCCAGACCGCATCGAACCTCTGGTTGGGCCTATCAGCCCAAAGTTGAGACTTGACTCTTCTCCGCAACTTGGGAAGCTTTGTAGACCCTGGAAAAGTAGGCCGATCTTAGCTTTACACGGAAATGTGTCGGCTCCTCTCTCCATCCAGCTTCCAAGCGCCTCTCTTTCTTTGCGTTGCCCTACAGTCAGGCAGCAATCTCGACCTGACAGTGGTTATGAGAGAGGCAGCGGTATTCGGGGCGTGTGTTTTGTCACCCTCAGGTTGCCACGCTCGGGCTCGTTATTATAATATTGTCAGACAAGAACTTTCGTCAAAATCGGTGGGTCAGCAAGACAGCCGTATATTCCCAGGATTCCGTTTGTGGCCTGTGGGTGAGCGCGGGAAGCGACATCTGCAAGACACCTTTTCTGCAGGGCATCGCAAGTTTTTTCTTTCTCATGTCACTCAGCCGTTCCCTACTTACGCGTTGTTGGACTATGGGTGGCATGGGCGTTTGCAACTTGACAAAGCTAATGCAGGTTGATGGCTGAAAGTGTGGCCTCCCACTTTCCGCCTGTTCACACTTGCTTGCAGCTGCAAGACGGGACCAGGCCCCTCCAGCTCGCAACAGAGTGACAAACGGATCGAGGCTTGCGAATTCAATGGACTGGACGTCGTCCGACGGACCGGATTGCCCCGCGATCCCCGCCAGTCTTGATCGTCAAAAATCTGTAACACGAAGTTATATTCGTACATGCTGGAAAAGCAAGGTAATCAATATTCATATTGGTGGGACCAACCTTGAAAGCTAGAAATGATTGAAACACGGCAACGTATAGGTCAATTTTGAGTAGAACAGTGCTGCAATGTGACAAGTGACCAGGACCTTGCATGAGGCTGGTCAAATGTTTGGAGACGAGCTCTTGATTCGGTCTTATTTGATGACTCTGGAGAGTGAGGGATCATGGGGTCCGGCTGCTTGGGACCTTCCGTGTTAGTGCGCATTGGTGCTGTTGCTTATTGGTCGCACATATTGAGTTATCTGTAGTGACATATTGAAGTATTAGCATACACAGTAAGAAAGACAGGCGGACATATCTGTGAGCTTAGCAATAGCTCAGCCTTTGGCTAATGTTGTCCCAAGGCACGGAACGACCTGACTGGAACAAGCAACGAGATTGCTGCTAGACGAGGCTTGCTTTGAGGCGGAGTCGAACAGGGAGTCGGTATGGCGCTGTCTCTGATCCCCGAGGGACGGGGCACCAAGTTGCAGATCGCGGCACGGTGGGCAGTGGTGGTATTTGTGTTGCCAGCAAGGGTAGAGAGATATTGAAACACGGCTGAGTTGCTATCCTTGTTTCTGTGCTGAGGCAAGGCTTTCTACTTGGTACCGAGAAACATAGCAGCCAGAGCCTGGTGTAAAGCAGATGCATTGCTTCTGCTGGGTGTCAGTAAGGAATCCAACTTTCGTTTTGACCATTGATGGAAAGTGTTTCGGTGATAGAACAAGTACCAGCGGACGCCTCCAGCCGGAACTAGGCATGTCATATTATGCGTCCCTTTTGGTCTCTGAGCCCTGGATGCGCGAGCAAGCCCATCCCTACTTGGCCACAGCAGGTGTCTCGCCCCTCGAGCCCAGCACTCTGGACGGCGGGCGGGATCCAAGTAGCGGGAAAGACGCAGATCTCGGGTATATCCTGTGTCTGGCCGTTCAAGCATGATAAAATAGGCGCCGGCTGGGGAGTAAAGATGCAAAGGGCTACATTGCTTGACCCAGATGAGTCTAGCAGCACCAAATGTTAGCAAGCATACCTTACCTCGACTTCTGGCCCTCCCCTTTTCCGCCCTAAATTTTCCAGTGCCACGGTTGGAATGATTGGGGGGACAGGGTTGAGACTTGCATATCTTTCCTCTGAACTGATTTGGAAATCTGACCTGTCACTTTCCCGAACGCCCTGCAGCTCCACAGCAGGACGTGCTAGAGACAAGGAAAAGAGGTCCCTGGTGGTGGACAGACATGATCTGATCACCCATGTAGGCAATCAGCACGGTGGAGTTTCGCCTGTTGTACCTGTACATGCCCTGGGGCACTCGTTCGATGATCCGGCATCATTTCAGTTGGCCACTCCGCACCTCCGTGTATCCGTAGCAGCGACGGCGGCTCCGGCAAAGCCGACCTGGGCCCGGTTTTGGTGGGTCCATCCCGTCCGGCTTCACTCGAAAGCTTGTCCCCTCCTCGCCCGTAGCGTTTGTTTCTCCGGCGGGCTTGTCTGTTAAGCCTAGAGAGTGCAACGCTGAACTTATCAGAGATTCTTGATCCGAAAGCCTGCAATTCTGGCTGCATGTAGCGTGCCTACTCTTGGAGTAGAGCTGCTGCGTAGAAATTGCACATGGGGTGGCGTCGTACACGATATAAGAGCAAGAGCAGTTGTCATCTGTTTGGCCCAGAATATGTGGGATGGTATGGCCGCATAGATTTCTATAGATATGTACACCTGGGTTTCCTAGACACGGTAAATCAACAAGTAGGACATGGTTCTGAAGGAAATTCAATGGCAGTTACATGGAGAGTACCTAGTGACACACTGTCGACTCTCGATGAGCCAGTAGCTTGGGCTCGCTGTCATACGCCCTTCCGATCGGATGCTACCGTCGACCGTTCCCTCGGTAAACCCTATTTCGGCTACGCCCTAATGAATCAAGCTTTCCTTCGTCTCGAGCAATTCGTCGTGGTCGGTCTGCTGAATCCAGGTGCGATCGACAGGTCCGATGCGGGTGTAAGTCGACCTATCGTGAGAGTTTGCTTTCAGTGAACCACTTGACCGCCGGTGTTGAGGAGAGGCAAGGAGTGCTGGGGACGTCTTGTTCATATCACTTCGAGTGGCTGAACAGACGATATCGATATTTAGCGGAGCTGTTCTGATCAATGCGGGACTTGGACATCGTGCTTTCATCCAGTCTGTTGGTTCGTCCGAAACGACTGGCCATTCAATGCCCTTGGCGGTTGACCTGATATACCACCACTTGTTGATTGGCGGTAGGCAAATAATCTCTCCTCGTGGCGAAAGGCCGATGTGTTGTTACAAAGTAGGCATGTCAGTGGAAGGACTGGATATCTGTCTCGACTGGACCGCTTACCTTTCTCCTTAATCAGGTCGGAGAGAATGGTGGTATAATGTGGTGATCGCGCAGATGAGTACGGTTGCTGGAATGTGACAGACAGCCCGGATACTTGGGCCATCTGATATAATCGGAAGTTGATGGTGTTGGGACGACAGGTGATAATTTGGGATGAAGCATGACAAGACTTGAGCTGGAATGGAATTGAGAAGTGCAAACCCAAGGGCGGAGGTCCGTTAACCGACTGGGCTGCGGGGAGGAACTAGCAAGCTTGCCGATGGGAGGAAGGTGCATCTTTAGATGGCAACGTATGAGGCAGTGACGGTCCACCAAGCGGTCCTTCCCATCTATTCCCCAGCAACATTGTGCTATGCGCGTGTGTCGTCGTTGTCGTCGTTATTTGGATGTGGCAATCCTCGAAATGCAGTGATTCATTGATTTACTTGAGAACGGCCACACTTCCATGTCAGTCATACTCAGGTAAAAATGCCTAGAGTGAAATCAAGGTCACAGTAACTTGATGATGATGCCTATTGCATTCGTACACAAGAAGAACGAGTTCCCTCTTCCTTTGGATTTGATTACTGAGTCTGTGTGTGAGAGTCTCACATCCAACTGGAATCCACGCATAATCAATCGCGTATCTGTCCACGATGGTGAAGAGGATTCTTGTCGAGTTCTAGTCCTGGATGCCAACGTGGTCATCTCACCCGTCGGATACTTGCTATGTTGGATCACCTTGATGTTCGCTCCTAGTTTCCAAGCAGTGTTGCCTATTTTACGACAATTTTACGACAATTTTAGCGAGACCTCGGTCAACAGATTAGGTATGTTCGAGTTCTAGCTTTGCAACGATACGTTCCGATTTGGGATCACGGTGGCATGTGCTGGTGAATACTAGTCAGAGTCAGATAAATCCCTAAAGTGCCCAGCTACTAATTGCTTAATGGCGGTGCTACCTCAGGACCCATTGTATTTTCAGGATGCGATTTCAAAGTTTTGGCAATGTACAGGAAATGAGGCCAAGGGACATATATCAAACGTCACGTAGAATGGCAGTTGGCAAAACGACCCGGGGAACTGTTATCTTCACTATCTCTATAATCCAAGTGTCTATGACAACACAAAACGGAAAGGAAGGAACATTAGACTCAATCTCATGCTCTTGGACCGATCTGTAGGTGGTCACGCTGGTCCACTGGGGGTAACCTTCAATATTCCTCTCAGCCGTCCTTTCGTCCTGCCATAGGCTGGCTTTGCAGTACGAAATTTAACTCAGTTGGCTCCAACGAAAGTGCAAATTGAGGTAAGGGATATGGTCATGACAAGCTCGTCTCCATCGAAATCTAACTCATCTCGTAATAGCAAGAGGCTCAAGGACCGTACGACGAATTTATGGTGACGGGGAGGGATGCGTCCATCCTCATCCCGACAAAAGACAAGAGACAGAGCTTCGGCTACCAAGCATGTTACCGCAGGTGCAGTACTGGTGTTTCGAGTCGTCTTGCTAGCTGCGATGCGGTCATAGGCGCCAGGTTCGCTTGAGTAGTCCATGCATGTTACACACAATCGTCTTTGACCTCGACCCAGGCCTTGGTGTCTTGTTCATAAGCCTTGGTAAAACATCAAAAGCACTGGGTGTCATCACGTTTCGATAGACTAGCATAGTTGAGCGCCATAGACGAAGAAACGCTGTTTCAAACCCGGAAATTTCAATCCAGGCCCATTTGACGACCGTGATGTCGCTCGGGGGGGTAATTTATCTCTACCTCGAATAGTGATTGTTGCAATTCATGTCTCATGATCCTGATGTGCTCGCCCACCGCCGTGTTCAACTCTAAAATGTGTCTAGAAAGTGATGTTAGCCTCTCCGGCCATGACAAGTTGAAGCCAAACAAGGAGCGCAAGTAGGAGAGGATACTCACCCAAAGTCATGCTCATGCTGACATCCGTGTTCTCCACCATCTTGGTGAACTCCTCGAAGCTGATCTTGCCGTCCTTATCTAAGTCGGCCTCCATGATGGTCTTGTCGACGATCTGCTGCAGCTGCTGGTCCTTAAGGTTGCTTCCAACCATCATCTTGAGCACAATAAAGAGCTCGCCATTGCTGATGTAACCGTCGCGATCGATATCGTACACCTTGAAGGCGAAGCGCAGCTTTTGCTCCTTGTTGCCTTTGCTGGAAAAGGCGCTGAGGCCTGATACGAATTCCTGGAAGTCGACGTCTCCACCACCATCCTCGTCAAAGATCGCAATCATTCTGTGTAGAAATCGCTTTAGCAACGTGATTCGCAGTGTCTTGCATCGGAAGGGTTTTGGCTACCTCGTGGCTAGCGGGTTGGAGGAGATCTGGGGCAGGCTGAGGAACTCATCACGCTCGATTGTGCCGGAGTTATCCTGCATGAAAGATGGGTCAGCAACATTGTCTCCTGGTGGCAAATGGGTCGCAGTTGAGCGCAACGGAAAGGGAAACAAGTCGGCCATAGAGAATACATGCCTTGTCCAGCTTCATGAAACGTTTCCTCAGACGGTCAACTTCCTCTCTGTCGACTGCATACCGGTCAGCTCCAGCACACCGAAGTCTGTGCGACAAAGAAGTCGACTGCGGGGGAGGGGCTCACAGTTGGACCCCTGGACGATGTTGTCCAACACCGTACTGGTAGTGTTGCCCATGATGGAGAAACTCGAAATCGGACTCGACTAAAAGCTGTATGGGTGCACGGTGTAGTTGGCAGGAAATATTCCAGGGTCGTCGCAGTTGAGTGGGCTTGTGTCGAGCTCGATTTCGCTAGTTCGCCGTGGGGTTCGCCTTGAATAGGGAGGTTGACAGGAGCAAGGCCAAGGTGCAGTACGGCAGGTAGTCGAAGTAAAGTCAGGCGGCCGCCAGGCGGCGACCAGGCGCCGGATTGGATTCGGGCAGCTGTACCGGAGCCCACCGCAGCGTGGTTACGCACGGGCCAGTTATAGATCTCATTGTCTGACGTACGGCCTGGATGGGTTGGCGAAGTGTCAGACGTATTACCACCATATTTGAGTTTCGGGAGGATGGAACGAAATGAATGAGTTGAAATTCGATGCATATTCTATCGGCTCAGACGACAGACCAGTGCAGTGATGAGAATAGAGACAGAACTTTGTCACCCAGGCACCCAAGGTACCGTAGCACCGCTCTTGCTGCTTTCTGATGTTGACAGATTGGGAAGGCACGTGACTTGCAGCTTCCCCTTTTCCCAGGCGCCCCTTGGGCAGGTGCCAGTCACTTCCATGGGACGTGTCGGCCAGTCTTTGCTTTCCATCTCCGATCCGTCTCTGTTGGCCCGAGCGTTCCTAAGTACCGCTACAGCACGTCTACTATTGCACGGTACCTTAAACGCCCAAATCCAAACCGAAAGGTCCTACCTTACTGCGTGGAAGCGCAACAGGAAAATTCTTCTTCACGCCAAACGCCAAATCAACGTCGCCTCATAGCCAGCAACAAATCGACCATCAATCCAAACCCAACAACCACGATTTCTATCTGTCAAAACTTCAAAATCCAACGTCGCATGACCCCTTGTATGACTTGATCGACTTTTTTCGCGGATTTTCCGCTGGCTTTCGGCCTTCGACCCCCACCCGCCACAATGTCGACCAGGAAAGTCAGAGTCAAGAAGTTGAGCGTCAAGACGCTTCTTCCTGTGCTCAGAGAGACCGATATCGATGCTGCTGAGTACGAATCTTTGACTACCGAGACTCAAATCGCGACCGGTGTCGAAGCCGCCGAGGAAACAGTGAGTCACATCTTCGTCCATATCGCGGCCAGATATCACGTGACCCACCATGTGATATGCCTTGGCACCCCCGGCTTATCCACTTCTCACTCATAGCTCGCCAGAGCAACAACAGCCACATACTAACCGCAAATCAATAGGAATACCATCTCCAGTCAATTCTTAAAGAGGCAGGCACCAGCAATGATCAAGAAATTCCAGTCCCGCCTCCTCAGGAAAGTCAGATCAACTATGATCAACTCTACCCCAGTAACTTTCAGCAGCCTACCTCTTTCATTCGCTTCTCGCAGACTGTCGAAGAATGCATTGGCGTTTCATATGACATGACAACGGAGGACGATGAGTTCTTGAAGCAGTACAATGCCACCAAGAAGACAGTCGCCTCCCAACTGTCAGAAGATGACTTTGAGCGCATTATGGAAGTGTTCGAAGACACAGCTTCTGAACAGACTCCATTCGCATCTATAGACAACACAGTGGTTGGCTATGATCTGATGGTGCCCTCTCTTGCCTCGCTCGGCGGCAACAAGCTCATGGCGCACTCCAAGCACGTCTATGAGCACTGGAAAACGCGCCGGCAGACGCTCGGCAACAAACCTATTCACCGAAGCGTCAAGTTCGAGACACATCAAGAAAGTGACGAGGCCGACCCATATGTGTGTTTCCGACGCCGCGAGGCTAGACAGACGCGAAAGACGCGACAGCGAGACGTCCAGAGCGCCGAGAAACTCAAGCGACTTCGCAGAGAACTTGAAGATGGTCGACAGCTCATCATTCAATCATATGAGCGCGAGATGCTCAAACGTGAACTACTTACCTTTGATCGGGCCATATTCGAACAGAGAGCCAAACTCAAGGAGATGAAGGTCAAGCTCGGCATCAAGACCGAGGACGACGACCTCATCAACCACAAGGTATGTCTAACATCTTGGTCTGGAAATCCAAAGACGTGTGCTGACCGAGCACAGCCTCCCAAGAAGAAGCCCGTGGAGGCGCCTGCTCTCCAGAAGCCACCTGGCAATCACCTTCGCATTGCCGTGCGGCCAGATGGTCGATCCATGGAGGCAGACTTGTTGCAGCTGGCAGATAAGCTTGCTGAGAAGGAGAACGAGTTGCGTGCAGATGTTGAAAGCAAGGTCCACAACCACCGGAAGTGGAACCAGAACCATGTGGATCTCACGCGAGACCCCCTGTCCCCGGTCAAGGAACAACGCATGGAGGCCAGCTTCCGTCCTGCCAAGACCCAGTATCTGATGACGCCTCCTGCATCCACATCTTCCGAGTCCGATGCCATGGACATTGATGAAGAACCCGAACCTGTGGCTGATAGAGGCGACATGTCGGTGTTCCAGTTCACAGCAGGCGGAGGCAAGGAAAAGCCTTCCAGCAGCCAAGCAGCCTTCCGCCGACGTATTGGCCGCTTGGGCCGTCTGTGGATTGACCGCCGGGGAATGAGTGGAATGACTACTCCGCCGAGGGTGGAAGGCGAGGAGTATACTGATCGGTGGAAGTATGACCAAGACGACGAGGACGAGCCGCAGGTGTACGAGGTGGACCCATATGACACGCGAGCTTTGAAGTTCCGCGCGACGATCCCGTTGTCCCAATATGTGTACCAGCGCCGGCAACTTCCGCACGAGGGCATGGTCAACGGCCAAGCAACTCCGCAGGTAGCGGGAACGGCTGGCAGACCTGCACTGCCGCAGCCTCCAACGCCGCAGCAGACGCAGCCGCAGCCACAAGCAACACCGCAGCAACCGCGGCAGCCACCACAGGCTTCTCCGCCAGCTCAACCTGCTGCTACCCCCTCGTGAGAGATGGTCTGGCCTTCGAGGCGCGATCTCTACTCCTCATCTTCTGATGACGTGTGTTGTATACCCCATGGTGTTTTGGTTGTCTTCCGGTTTTGTACAAAGGGCCTGGTGGCTGGCAGGCGGGCAGGCAGGGCGGTCGGTTAGGCGTGGCGTTTTGGGTTGAGATGGCTCTCATGTAAAGTAAATGAATGTAAAAGAAGAGGAGTTGGAGACCTTGTAGTCGTGGTCTACCAAGATGAAGGCCTCGGCCGGGGATGGAAGATTCCCCAAAGACAATAAAGAAAGATGAATAATGTACTTCATGCCTTCTTCTATTGGTGACTCCTATTGCCTTTTGCTCTCGTGTAGAAGCGTAGGAACGGTTCTCGTTGGCCATGGGCGCGGTCGGCCAGATCTTGGCGGAGATGACGATCGAGGTCGGCTTCCGGCGGCTGGCGGCGTCTGACTCTGCTCGAGGGGGGTGCTTCAGCGACTCGTAGCGCATTGCCTTGCCTTGTGGCAGCGGGGAGTGGGCAAAAGAAAGTACCGCCAGCTTTGTGAACTTTTATGTGCCTCAACTCGTGGTGTGTCGGGAGGAGGAAGAGGAGGAGGTGATGGTTTGTGAGGTGACTCGGAGAGCTTGCGACGAGCGGGTGGTCAGGCGCGGCATTATGCCTGGAGGGTAGGTACCTGGCTGACAAAAACCACGGGGTTAGCAGGTGGTGAAATTGAACAGCTTCTGGTTTTTCCCCTTCCAAAGAGGCGAGGACAAGCCTGCAGCAGTACTTCACAGCTTGTTCAAGGGGAAAAACGGTGGTATTGTGGGTGAGGTGAAGTAGGTAGGTAGGTAGTCGTGGAGTGGTCAGCAGGTCGACCTTTGTCTTGTTCTCTACCGTCCCCCCCCCCCATTCAGCTGATCTGTGCCCGCAGATCCCTCGGCCGATTCACGAGACGGGACAGGACAAGAAAGGGGACCTCAAAGGGGGCTTGGAAAGAATTGCAAAAAAGGAGGGGAACGAGAAGAAAATCGGGATATCTGTAGCAACCGGCCAGCAGAAAGAGGGGACGGAAGCTGGGTACTGAGGAAATATCAAAAGAAGAGAAAGAATTGTGTAGTGAGAATGGGAAGGGGAGTCCACTTTCTCGTCGAGGCTTGCCGGTGGTGGGTGTGGGGATAAATGTGTGCCATTCTGGAAGCCTCAAAAAAGGTACCTTTGACTGACCGAGGGTTGTTGATTCTGAGCGATAAAAACGGTGCGCCAACGTGGGCAATGGGACCCTGCGTATGCCTTGGTCCTTGACCGAAGCATAAAAGTGTCGTGTATCTCGTGGACGAGGTTCAATCCCGTGGGAAAACACAGGGACTGAGGAGAGAAAGGAAGGAGACAGAGCAAAGGTCTTGGGTTGAGGTGAGGCGGGCGGCGTTTGCCGGGAGGTTACACCCAAGGTAGGCAGGAAGGCAGGTAGGCTAAGGGGGGGGGGAGGGGGGGGGTTCACCCATGGACATTTGCGCAAAAGGCAGAAAAGGGCCCGGTGCGGTGCGGCGTTAGGTTGTGTGTGTCAACGAACCGTTGTGGCAGCTCTACCGGAGGGATCATGCTGCGCAGCCGCCGCGCTTCTTCTGCCTCTCTCTTGGGGCCCGTGGGCAGGGGACCAGAAATACCATTTCGGGACCCATATTTACCCATCCACTTGCTCTCTTTCTTCCATTCTAATGCTGCTGGAGACCAATATGGGACATCCCACCAACGGGATTACCCCTCCTACGTCAACCTCTTTTTTTCCATTGGCTCGTACGAACTTTTCTTTCTCTTTGCGACAGACGGCGGAAAGTCGCCATATCTATGTAAATTTTCCACTCTCTCGGTGTATTAATGAAATATTCTCGAGCTCGATAAATTGATACAGTCTTGGGTTATTTCCTGAGCTCAAAAAGTCGTGGAGGAGAGGGCAAAATTCAACGGTCGAACCTGGCTAACAAGTCCAGCCCCCCATGAGCGACACCACAACCCGTCCACCAAAGAGGCCCCGCGATCCAAACCTCGACGTCTACACCCCACCAACACCACCACCACCACCACAACCACAACACCATCAACCACAACCATCACCCGCAGCCATGACCGCCGAATCCCCCTCCAAACTCACAACAGCAAACATGACTAAAAAACGCGGCCTCATCGCCCTAGGCTGCGAAGGCTCCGCCAACAAGCTCGGCATAGGCGTGATGCTCCACAACGGCACCGAATCCACCATCCTCTCCAACATCCGTCACACCTTCGTCTCTCCTCCGGGGACAGGCTTCCTCCCCAAAGACACAGCCAAACACCACCGCTCCTTCTTTGTCCAAATCGCCCGCCGCGCCCTCCGCGAAGCCGGCGTCGCCGTCGCCGACGTAGACTGCGTCTGCTTCACAAAAGGCCCCGGCATGGGCGCGCCCCTCACCAGCGTCGCCGTCGCCGCCCGCACGTTGAGCCTGCTGTGGGACAAGCCCCTCGTCGGAGTAAACCACTGCGTCGGCCACATCGAGATGGGCCGCTCCATCACCGGTGCGCAGAACCCCGTCGTGCTGTACGTCAGCGGCGGCAACAGTCAGGTCATTGCCTATGCCGAGCAGCGGTACCGCATTTTTGGCGAGACGCTCGATATCGCCGTCGGTAACTGTCTCGACCGGTTTGCGCGCACCCTCGAGATCAGCAACGACCCGGCGCCGGGATACAATATCGAGCAGCTGGCTAAGAAGGGGACGAGGTTACTGGAGCTGCCGTACGCCGTCAAGGGCATGGATTGCTCCTTCTCGGGCATTCTGGCCTACGCGGATATCCTCGCAGGCCAGATGAAGGCGGCGCAGGCCAAGGGGGAAGAGACGTTCACGCCGGCTGACCTGTGCTTTTCACTGCAGGAGACAGTGTTTGCCATGTTGGTCGAGATCACGGAGCGGGCCATGGCGCACGTTGGCAGCAACCAGGTGCTGATTGTGGGAGGTGTCGGCTGCAACGAGAGGCTACAAGAGATGATGGGTGGAATGGCCGCGGAAAGAGGCGGTAGTGTCTATGCGACGGATGAGCGCTTCTGCATCGATAACGGCATCATGATTGCCCATGCCGGCCTTCTGGCGTACGAGACCGGCTTCAGGACGCCCCTTGAGGACAGTTCATGCACGCAAAGATTTAGAACAGACGAGGTATTCGTCAAATGGAGAGACTAATGCCATTGGCCAATGCGGCATAAGCTGGCTGTTGATTTCTTTTGTTCATTTATTTTGCCTCATGATAACTGCGAGGCAATAACTCTAACGGTGACGATTGTCCGCTTAGAGTAGGCACGCTACTCAATGCCGGATCTCGGTACTATCCCAGAGTGTCCAATCACTCATCTGTTGTGGTGGGCTTGTAGATGATCGTCGTGACATACTATTCGACTTGTTAGTCACGAACCAATTTCAATGCCGCAACAGATGACATACCTTGTTCTTGTAACGCGTCGTTGCAGACACAGCCAGAATGTTGTTCTTAATACTGCTGGTGGCAAGATGGTTGAGAACAGTGTGGTTGGGCATGTTGAGCACACTGTTGTCGTCCTTCATAAGAACTGCGGCGTTCAAGATGGGCTTACCCAAGAAGCCTGGCAAGCTCGGAGGAGTTGGTAACTTCTCAATGGCTGTCACCGCATACTGATAAGCTGGCGAGTCTTCGGGCTGGTCAAAGTCCACCAAGTACTTGGGTATCTGGCGGAAGTATTGACTGGGCGAGGGCACCTCTTTGCCTCTAGGCGCCTTGGGCTGCTCATCAGTCTGCGATGCCGAGGTCTTGGGGCCACCCTTGTCAATGGTAGCTGCTGTAGCCACGCCGTCCTTTCCAGGCTCAACGGGTGCTGTTGCCGGGATGTCATCTGCGCTCACTTCGATGAAGTTGACTAGGTTGTTTCCAAAATCCACGGTTGTTGGCAGGTCGGGGGAGGTCTGCATGATTCCGTCCACCAAGAACCTAACATGATGTGTTCCCGGAAGAATGTGAATCGTGGCTGCAAACACGCCAGGCTGGCCATCGCTATTGAACACGCCTTGTCAGCTCAGTTTCATGGGAGTACTGGCTTGTGATATGGCACGTAGGGCTTAATGTAAATAAGGCGGCCAAGGGGCCAGAATCTCAGACCACTGAAGAGCCACAGGTGTAACGCTGACAGCCGAGACTCAAGCCCACACACAGGATTGAAACTTACACAGGATGTAATCTATGTTTGCGGTTCCATTGGAAGATGGTTCCTGTGACGTAGACCTTGCCTCCTCCCTTGCGCCATTCGAGACGAGTGGGAACCGTTGGCCGCGTCTTGTCGACAATCAGCTCTTCGCCATCTTCCTCTTCGACTGTATTTGTGCTCAAGGCCGAGGACTTCCTAGTCATGCCATCCTCGAGGGTTTCCACTTCGGCCACGCCAGCGTCGTTGGTGTCGGTTGGGGCGATGATGGGCGAGCCCGGCGTGTGAATCTCCTCCTCGATGGGGAGTGGCATACGCGGAGGACGTGTCAGGTAAGACATGTCGTTGACGCTGCTGTTCCCAACCAGCGGTGGCTCGACCATGTGGGCAGAGTAATGCGATCTGAGGGAGGAGGATTCTGTCGCGGCGGCAGCTGGGACGTCTACGGGCTTGCTAGGCGCATCGCGGACGACGTTCTTCGATTCTGGGGGCTTCGGCGGCGGGGCGGAGTTACTCGAGTTTGACGAGGGAGAACCGGTGGTGAAGTTGGAGATCGGGATGGCCTGGAGAGGCCTGGGACCCTTTGTGGCCGTGGAACCTGTAGCCTGGGTAAGGGAAGGTTCAGGCGGGGCAGCAACTCGCTCGGCAGACCGGGGCGGGATGATGTGTTTAGACTCCCTCTTGGGGTGGTGGTGCTTGGGAGAGTCCTGTGATGAGACAGGCGTGGCCGGCTTGGACGAAGACGAGGGGTTGTTTCCCATTTTGTGTCGTTTCTTCTTTCAGATCCGCTCGTAGGGTAGGTATGGTGGGACACGACAGCGTGGTCTCGCTGCGTTCTGGGGGTGGGCAGGCAGTCCGCAGTCCGCAGTCCTGAAGCCTGGCCAGACCAACCTAAGTCTGGATCTCTCTCTTTTTTTTTTTTTTTTCAGGGTAAGCGGCGAGGTCGGGCGGACACACGGCAGGCGATGCGGGTTGCGGGATAGGTTACGGCAGCGATGCAGTGGAAAGCGCGAGGGCAGCGCTGCCCAGAAGAGCGCAATGCAGCGATTCGGCGGGCAGTTGCAATCGGGGGGTCGTCGGGACCCAATGTTTCCACGTCGGGCCAAGGTATCCGTAGCTGCTGCGACTGGAGTTTGTGCGATCCAGGTTAGGTAAGGCGTGGATTGCACGACGATACCTATGTAGCAAAGACGCGGGGTTGCGACTTAATTATCGCATTCTCAAGAGATTGAGTCAAGGCTGGGGCGGTCGAAGGCGACGACGGCGGGTGTCGGGGGGTGTCGGGGGGTCGCTGTGCTCTGCAAAAGAGTCAAGCGGAGGTTCGCTGGTGATGGGGCGAGGATGTGCGAAATGAACACGGCAGGTTCGCTCCTTTGAAGATTGGATGAGAGGTTGAGTTAGGTAGTTCAGTAGCGAAGTTGAGAGAGTGTGGAGGGGTGGTGGTGTGTTCCCACTTGAAGTTGGGGGGAACAAATGTAGCCGAAGCCAGATAAGCTCTACATGATCGGTACTCCATATCGCATATTGCGGACCATGGGGAACCAAGTACCGGCGGGCCTCCGCTTAGCCCATCATTGTGCGACTCACAGACAGACCTGACCTGTCACCCTACCGGCCGGCCTTACCGTCATCTCTACAGTAGCTGGATCTCGGGTTACCTGTCAAATGACCTCTAGCGTCCAGTGACATTCAGTTTCCGTCTTTTATTTTGGTTCTTCATTGTGGATTTGGCCATTCAGTAATTCCTCTCAAAAATGATGAGCCAACGGATGGATCATGACAGCACTGGAATGATAAGGATGGCGTGTGCTTGGTCGGCACCTCTCGCTGGTCAGTGCGCGCAGGCTTAAATTGCATCCATCCTTCTCCCCCCCCTGGCCTGATGAAGTCAAGCTCTGTCCCTCACTGAAAGCGGCCGTCCGATTCCTTTTACTTGCCTGCTTGGCATCGTTGTAGGATCTGGCACTTCCTTCGAGCTGGAGCTCAGCTCAACGCCAGTCGGAGGTACCAAGTCAGCTCTCCCACGTTCCTCCTACAGCCCGCCCATGCACCGTGGCACCTCAACCCCCGGATTTCAGAACGAAAAGGCTGGAATGTAACCGGCCTCACATCACCGGACTATACTATACGTCCGCCCTTGATTTTAACCTAAATCTCTCCTCAGTCATCATCCACCTCTTCTCAGCGTCCTTCCAGGTCATTGCAAGTTGATCCAACTGCCATGCTTGGGAGAGCAAAAAGTTATCATCCCTTTTCCAGGTATAGCTTACACTGAGCTACCCCTGTCACGCTTCGTCAACAAACCTAGGTATCACCATCAAGGGTATCTCACATCATGGCACTGCTGTCATACGCCTCTGGCGTGTTCACCATCGCGACATGGCCCGCAAGAATCGCTTGGAAGCCTGTCGCATTCTTCATCAACGTGATCCTCATCCTACTATCGCCTCTGTTACTGATGGCAACGTTTGTCCTGGGATGGTGCCAATCTGTCATCGACTTCATAGCCAGTCTCCAGGTAAGCAGACCCTCCCTTGGAACGCATGTTGTTGACGGCATTGCTAACTGGCACAACACAGCCTCTTTACACCTTTGTTAGTTTCCTGCCTTACTCGTACAAGAATTGGACTCCTGATACACTAACCTCCCCCATAGTTGGCCTGCGGAGCGTGCATCGGCATCTTGGCTGGCCTGACCATGGCTTGCACATCAGGCGTCATCACCTCAGTCCTCGGCATGCATGATGAGAGGTCAAATTCTCTCTCTGCAACGCCAATGCCGGGGACACCATTGTCAGAGCGGCCTGGGACAGGCAAAACAGAAGACTCGTCATCCTACGAGACTGATTGGCAGTTGCTGAACAAGCCTCCTCCAAAGAGACGGAGGCGAACTCCTGGACTCTGGTCGCAAACAATTCACGAGGAGGACGACGATGATTCAGAGATTTGATTTTGTAATTCGGCCTTTCTTTACATATACCATATGCTGCAGGGAAGGGAAGCATTCATTACCGGGGAATCACTTATATACCAGCCTTGCTTGGAATTATGCTCCCGCCCCCAAACGCCTGTCCCAGTGCTTCGCCGAGCTATCCTGCCATTCGATATTATACTGTCTTTTGTACAGGCCGCAATCTCATCTGCGGTACGCGTCCCGTTCTCGCATGGGAGAGCGACTACGGCTACGCGTCCGGCGATCCCAGTCTCGATCGTGCCATCGCTCATCTCTACTATTGCGGCGTCGGTCGCGAGGAGGTCGGTCGTCTCTGTGCCTTGGAGGAACATCATCTCTGTAGCTCGGGATATACGTGTCTACATCAGGAGCTCTTCCTCCCCGACTTCTCGGCCTCCTATCTCTGTCTCTGTCTCGGTAGTCTTCGCGGGGCGGCATGGGGCCCCCATTAGCATACTCAGGTGGGGGCGGTCGCGGAGGTAAGCCTCTATTGTCGCGCTGCCAAGCTGGTCGGCGCTCATCGCTGCCGTTTCTGTGACCGCCGGGTACATTGGCATTGCGACCGTTTACACCATTGCGATTGTTGTAAGCATCGGTATTGTTGAATCCGACATTTGCACCATGCGCCTCGGGCCCCATGCCTACCGTGCCTCCCTTAGGCGCCGGTGGGAGTTTCGCTTGACGGTCGTGGAACTTTCGCCTGTCTAGTTCGTGACTGGCCTCGAAGGTGGGTAAGTCTCCTGGTTCGGCTGGCATGGGAGCCATCTTGAAGTACGGATGATTCAGCGCATCGGCGGCATTGATGCGACTTCTCCAATCGAGTCTAAGAAGCTCCTTAAGCAAAGAGACTGCTCCGGTTCCGTACTCTCTGAACTTGTTGGATATGCTGCCAGGCCGAGAGCGTGGGGCCACTGTTTCGGCGCCAGGAAGAGTGTTGAATAGGGGCATATTCTCCGGTGTGGGCGACCCCATCAGATCCCAAATTATGTCGAGCTGGTGGGTATCGCTCTCACCAGCTAGAATTGGCTTTCCCACGAGCATTTCGCCAAAGACACAGCTATTCACATCATTAGTATCGGGCCCCAAAGATGTGTAGATTCTGACACTTACCCAACACCCCAGACGTCAATAGCGGTTGTGTAGCGTTTCAGCTGAAGCAGCAATTCCGGGGGTCTGTACCACCTAGTGACGACAAGGCCAGTGTATTCCCTTTTCCCCTCCCCGGCACCGTGTCCAGGCTTGGGCGTAGGCCCTTCGTAGTGTCTTGCCAGACCGAAGTCGGCAATCTGGAGAATGCCTTTGTTGTTGATGAGAAGATTGGCAGCCTTCATGTCTCGATGCAGGATATGTTGGTCGTGCAGATATCGCAATCCTTCGAGGAGCTGCAGCATGTAACATTTGATCTGCGGTTCGGTGAAATGAACAGAAGGGTTGTCGAGAAGGCCCGACAAATCGTGATCCATGTACGGAGTTGCCATGTACATAATCGGGCGCTTGCGCTTGTCGCCTGTCACAATTCGGGTCAGGAATTGCTGCTGGCGAATTGGGTAGTTGAGCATGAGCGACTTACTGGCTCTCTGAGGGTGCTCCACAGCCATGTCCACCAGCTGCAGGACATTTTTGTGGGAGAGCAGTTTCAGAAGTTTGATTTCTCGCAATGCCGTGATGGGGAACTGTCGAACGTCGGTCAGTAGATGCGCTGGTTGTGTAGGTACGGGGATCACACGTACGCCATCCTTTTCATGGTGCATGATGATCTTCTTGACGGCGACGTGAGCGTTGGTCTTTCGAGATCTCGCATGATGGACTTCACTGCGCAGTAAATCAGTAACGCGGCCAGAGACGCAAGGTCTGAAACTGGACTAACCCAAAAGTACCCTCGCCCAGCTTTCCGAGGAGTTCGTAGTCAGAGATTCGTGAACATCCCTGAAAACTAGCGCGTGGACGCTGGTGCTGCATCGCAAAAGTCCGAGGCGATAAGCCCCCGTTGGGCGCACTGGAATCCATGATGGTTGCGAAGCGCGGCGAGATGCGCCGGTCGCGTGAAAGATTGGCTTGCTCGATCCGACGTTCTCGTGACGGATGGGATCAAGGGCGAACGACGACTAAACGAGTCGCATTGCTAGTGGTCGCCAGGTTTCCGCGAGAATAATCGTGGCCGGCGTGTATGTATGCTGAAATAAAGTGTTTTCCGTCGATAGCGAGGAGTTCCTGTAGCTGTTAGATTCCACCTGCCCAGGTGGTTGAAGATGGGTTGGTGTTTGGGCGGTGTCTGTGGCAGAATCCCAATCAAGTTCCAGATTGGCGATGATGGAACTCAAAGGTCGCGGAAAATCCCTGGTCCTGTATTGTGGGTCCTGCCGAGCGTGTACTCCGTAAGGTCGCCAATTGGCAATAGTGGAGGAAAGGAACGTACCTGAGCCTTCGGTGGGAAAAAAAAGTGGCAGGTCTAATCTGGCCTAGTCCGCGCACGTGCGTCATCGTCTGAAGGTGAAGTTCTGCAAGCAACTTGTCGCATTTTTTTTAGGCTGATTTCAATTCGCCATCAAGCAAATGCCAGATCTAATTCCATCCTGGGCCCAACTTGGCACATCAAGAAATATCGACAACAACCGTAGAACTCTCTCCCGTAGGTAGCCTCTGCTTGAGCACCGTACCCTCCCACACACGAATTGCACCATGGTCAGCGACTCACACCCTCGTCGAGTCTAGCCAGCCATGCCTGGTTACTTGAAATGGTCACGCCGCTGTCGTGGCCGTTCTGTTACTTAATTATTACCCCTCCAAAACTCTGCCCGCTATCCGCTATCGGCTTTTGTCCCATCACCTCTGCCCCGCGATACTTGGCTCTACTCGGGTTTTTGCCCAAGTTTTGTAAGAACATTTGGCTTATCGCGATAAGGCGTACCATCAAGTACGAGGGGCAATGTTTGATATTTGCCCGCATTCCCTTGTCCCTCCTTATCTAAGGCTTCGGTCAACCAGCAAGACCCAATGTCAGCCAGCTCTTGTCAGGTTCATCCAGGCCATTGCCGTATACCGGCCACCAAAGGCTCTTCTAGCTGCCTTTAAATTGCTGGTGTATGCCACAAATCACTTGATTGACTCGCCATCCGTCTCCACTCGCGTGCTTTCATCATCCATCACTGCCCGCCCATCATAGTCTCTCACAGACTCCTCCGTCCGACAAAATTTACAAAATTTTGCACCACCCGTGCGTGACACTGGCCAACTGTTGTCGCCTCGCTCTCCATACAAAAGCTCTTGCCCCTCCACTTCCCCGTGCCCCTCAATTTACTATACCCATCTGTGGAGGCTTTGGTATCCGAACTACTACTTGATAAAGTCCCGACTTGGACGGCACCAACTTTCCCTCCCTCATTGTGTTCGCTACCTTACTTGACAAAACTCGACCTCGGCATCACCGATACACCGACACAATGGCTTTCGAACCTACCGCCGAGAGACTGCTGCCGGCGTCCAACTACCCGGAGTCTCGAGTCCTCATTATCATGACGGGCGGAACCATCTGCATGCAGCCAACCGCCGATGGACTTCAACCCATTGGAGGCTTCTTAAAGGATGCCATGGCCCCGCGGCCCTCGTTCAACGACAAGTCGTCCCCTCCTGGTAGGTTTTTCTCTGAAAGACAGCACGCCCCCAGGGAACACTAAAGTCAAGAAATGAGTATTTGCCTGGTCTTCATGTTGATAACGCTGGCCCAATTCGACGAAGAGTTCCTAATTCCTAGAATTGTTCATGAACATAACTTCCCGAGCCCTGACTGGACTGAAGCACTATTTGTCAAAATAAGTAGTATCTGTAATGAGTCTCACTAACAATGCGTAGTCCAACTTGAGGCCGTCAAAAATGGGGAAAGGATCATGATTGACAGCTTGAGAACACCACCGAGCGCCTACTCCCGTCACATTCGCTACGGCGTGCTGGAGTTCAACCCTTTGCTGGACTCTAGCTCCATCTCAGCGGAAGGCTGGACGGAAATCGCCCAGACCATCAGGGAAAACTACCGCCTCTTTGACGGATTCGTCGTCTTGCACGGAACCGACTCTCTTTCGTACACGGCCTCGGCTCTGTCCTTCATGCTTTCTGACCTGGGTAAGCCGGTCATCCTTACCGGTTCCCAGGCCTCCATCTTTGCTCTTCAGTCCGACGCCGTCGACAACCTCCTCGGTTCGCTCATCATCGCAGGAACCTTTGTCATCCCTGAAGTCAGCCTCTTCTTCCACCACAAGCTGTTCCGCGGCAACAGAACCAGCAAGGTCTCATCTGCCGCTTTTGAGGCCTTTGCCAGCCCCAACTGCGAGCCCCTGGCCAAGGTGAACGGACTTGGTATTGATGTGAACTGGCCCATCGTGTTGAGGCCCACTAGAATCGCCGAGCTCCAGGTCACGAAGCACCTCGACACAGCTCACGTTGCCTGTCTTCGAGTGTTCCCTGGCATCAGGCCAGAGATGCTCGACTCGGTCCTGCGTGTCCCCGACCTGCGCGGCCTCATTCTCGAGACCTTTGGCATGGGTAACGCCCCCAGCGGTATCGACGGCAGCTTGACCAAGGTCATCAAAGCCGCCGTGGACCGCGGTGTCATTGTCGTCAACGTCAGTCAGTGCATGAGTGGCTTCGTCTCCCCCGTATACGGCCCCGGAACGGAACTCGGCCGCGCCGGCGTCATCTTTGGTCTCGATCTCACAGCCGAGGCCGCCCTGACCAAGCTGTCCTACCTGCTCGCGATCCCCAGCCTTTCCACCGCCCAGGTCAGCGCGAGAATGTCGCAGTCGCTGCGGGGCGAAATGACCGAAATGGCTCTTCCGGTATTTTCGCATCCATCTGGCTCACTCGACTCGGTCGTAGCGCGACTAACCGCGTCAGAATCGGCATTTACCGTCCTCGGTTACGCCATACGAAACGGCGATGTCCGGACGGTGAAGGAGATCCTGGACAACGACGCCCAGCACGAGCTCCTCAAGGCCGCCGACTACGCGGGCAACACGACTGTCCACCTGGCCGCCGTCGGGCCCAACATTGAGATCTTGCGCGAAGTGCTAACGAGGGGCGCCAGCGTGCACTCGAGGAATCTAGCTAACAATACGCCGCTCTACCTCGCCGAGAAGATGGGCAAGGAGAAGTGCGTGCAGTTGCTAAAGGAGACGGGCGCACACTTATGGCAGGAAGAGGAGGCTATTTTGGATTCTGTTCACGCATCTGCATCCGGAGGAGTTCAAAAGTAGGAAAACTAGAAAAGTCTTGTGTTTTGGTTTTGTGTCGCATGTTCGCAGGCGTTTCTTGGGGTCAGTGTTATTCAGAGGTCATATCTCAACGATAATGAAGCAAACCAGTGATGATCTAATGAGAAGAAAAGTGCATGTGATATCGGACGCTTTCACCTTGACCAAACGAGCAAGAGAGATAGCGGCAGAGCACACGAGGACTCCGCTGACTTTATAACTCTCAATTGAGACATTGAAGCTGGACACTTCTTTAGTTGATGGAAAATGATATGCAGGAGCTACCTGTGAGATATGCAGTCACTTCTAAATAATACTCATTGCTTCTCGTATGTAAACAGGAATACTTTTGCTACACTACACAGTCAAGCAACTGGATGATGAATGCAACGACAACGAGACAGCTGATTATACGTCCTAAGTTGTCCAACATTGTCAAAGATGCTGGGTTTCCCCTGTGCTGTAGATGAGGAGATCGTCCGGAATATGGGTTTTCGTTTTACACCTGGCCATGTAACTCTCGTTTAATTCAGTCATCGCAATTTAAGCTTCGAGCATATTTGTCGCGTCCATCTTAATGAACTATGGTCTGAAGTACGTTACGTTGTTCAATCGACCCTCGGTGCCCCCAAGCTTATAAGGCGTTAGAGAAACTTGCAAATACCTATGATCTGAATCCGAATTACTTGTTCTCGTCTGATTACTTATATCTGCCGCTTGAACTTCGAGGGTTTACTAGGAAGCACTCATGTAAGCCAGGTGCACGTAATCGGTTCAGGTGGTTTGTGCCCCGGAGCCCCGGGTCGGCCCCACCTCGATTTTCGGCGCCGGGGCCTAGCGCGGCTCTAAAATTTTGGGAGATTTCTCTTTTGCACCTGCATCGAAACACCTTCATCAATCGTCATTGACTTGAACACCCGACATCATCCACCTACCTTGCGACACCAATCTCCGTCCCGAACTCGAAGACCACCTACGAACACAGCGTCGAAGCACTCGAACCCGCGAGAAGACTGCCCAGCCGCCGACCCGAGCAGCTTCCACTCTACCTCACCACCCCTAACCCGACAAAACCTCCACCGCGGAAAACATCACGACCACATACACAATGTCTTCAACCTCACAACCCGCGGGCCAACCCGCCCTCCCTCAAACCCCGACCCCGACCCCCCAAATCATCACCAACGCAGCCTGGGCAGGCGTAGTCCTCTGCCCCCTCATCATGCTCATGCCCCCTCGCCGCCTCGACTGGCGCACCTTCATGCTCTGGACCGGCTTCTCCGCCTCGGGCAACCAGCTCATCTACGACTACAGCGGCCAATCCCTCATGCAGCGCGTGCAGTCCCGCATGGCCCGCATGTTCCCCACCGCGCTGCCCGAGCAGGCGCAGCGCACCAAGCAGCTCCTGCGCGAGGAGCGGATGCGCCGCGACGGATTGACGGAGGAGCAGATGCGCGCCATCGAGTTCAAGAAGCGCAACCTCGCGCAGAGGCTGTGGTACGGTAGCGAGCCCGAGGACTGGGAGGCCAAGAGGGCTGCTGAGCATGCCAAGGCGCTTGCTGAGGGGAAGGGGTTGGGTGATTTGATTGCCGAGCAGGTTTCTGAGGTCTGGAGCGGCGCTCGGAAGGAGGAGGAGGAGCAGCAGGGGAAGAAGTCGAGTGAGGAGAAGGGTGGCGAGAAGAAGCAATAATGGGTGGGAGTTTCTGTACAAGAGGTGACGGCTGGTGTAGGATACCGAGGAACAAAAAACATAATGGCCATAGAGGGAAGTCATCCGACTCGAGTCTAGGTACACATATTGGCTAGTAGGAAGTCTAGCAAAAAGGCGTTGAGGGTTGCGATTTGGGGCATCAACGGGTTGGTGACAATATCCCCTGGCTGTACATTACTATTATTGAGCACCATCACATAAGTACGGTCTGCATGTTGCGATCTGTGACGGGTACGAGGACCTCGCCATCTTGCAAAATATTGCCGATATGCCGGTACTTGAGCTCGGCGTTCAATTTATTGTTGAGATATCCTCCTTCCATTTGACCCGCTAGACGCCAACATGCATGCGTATATACTTTTGTCTTATTGTGTTCTCCCTCCTTTTCCTTTCATCACACAACCATTACTCCCTCACGGCGCCTTTGCTCCCCATAATCGGCGTGGCCCCATCGAGCCGCAGGCCGGCCAACTTCTCCCCTAGTTGCCTCCCTGCCGGTCTCGTAGGGCCTTTTTTTGTTTCTGCTTCTTTATTTGCTTCTGCTTCTCATCGTTCTTGTTGTTTCGTCCTTTGTAAAGCTTACCGCTTGCTTTTCCCTTTGACGCAATCTTCTTGGCCTGCTTCTTGGCCACCCGCGCCTCGATCTTTTCGTCAAACTCGGCGACCCAGGTCTTGAGCAGCGCGTCCACCTCCTCCGCGCGCTCGTCCGACTCGACGGGGATGCCGAGCTGCTTCTTAATCACCTTGCGATGGTTGTCAATCTGCATCTGCCGCCGCCTTGCCGCGCGGTTGGGTCCTCCCATCTGGCTGTCGCCGCCGAACATCGAGCTGGGGGCAATGGATGTGGCGTCGCCGGCCACGGACGCGCTTGTGTTGTCGGCGATATTGCCCTTAGTGGGGTTCACATCGATTACAAAGGGGAGCGGCTCGGCATCTGTTGCAGGAGTAGGAGTAGGCGCTGTCGCTGGCTCTGTGGGCTCTACGGACTCTGCTGGCTCTGCTGACTCCGTTGGCTCTGCGGGCTCTGCTGCTGTGGCGGCCTCGCCGGGGGTTTCTGTCGTCGCATTGTCCTCTGGCTTTTCTTCTTCCTTCTCAGCCATGCCCGTGCTCTTTCTTGTCGCTTTCTTTCCCCTTGTCTTCTTCTCTTGAGCTTTGAGCGCAGGCGATGCGGGTTGGGACTCGGGATTCGGTGTGCTGGCCAAGGAGGAGATTTGGGAGCCTCCTGGCGTTAACCCCTCACGGATTTGCTTTCTACGCGCAGCTCGTTCGGCGCGAGCCAGAGCTGCCGCCTGTCTCTTGTCGGCAGGAGTTGGTGGGACATCTACATCCATGGCATCGGTTGACTGCTCCTAAAGATGGGGGTTAGAATCGTGAGAGCTGAAGACTCGGGGAGTCAGGCGAACCGTGGGTGCATTCAGCTTGGCGCCACCGTCCTCCATGTCGGAGTCAGAACCAGCATCATGGATTTTCTTGCTCATGGTGCCGACTGATTGTGCGAACCGGATCTTCAGCTTTCTGTGTAGGTAGTCCTTCGCGCAATTGAGAAACTCTGGAAACTCTGCGCAACGACCCTCTTGCTAATTAAAGCTCCCCCCCAAGCGAAGGAAAAAAAAAAGTTGATAAAACCAGGGGTCTTTTTTCCTTGTTGTTATCTTATCGACACGTGATAGTGTGTGGCGTCGCAACGGTCGTGGGCCTGAGGCGCGCCGCACGCACGGCGGAAGGGCCCCCGATCTCCGACACCGCACGGACAGCGATGATTCCAGTCTGAGCCAGCATTCTGGATAGGGCTGGCTTGGGGAATGCCAAAATGGCTGGCAGAGTGCTGTCAAATCCAGCGTCGCCTCTCACGCAAGGAAGAAGCACGAGAAAGAGTTAAAAGAGGATTCGAATGTTGCCCGAGTACGTCATCTCACGGGCTTGGGTGCTTTCTCGTGTTTCTCTCCGGCAGTGGATGTGGCTTGCACCCACGAGTAGCGATTTCTTAGTGGATGACGGCCGAGCCACCATTCGTCGTAAGTGCCCCAGACCTGCGCAGTGCTCAACCGTTGTTAGTGGGCTGACGGTCTAGCGCAGGCATTTCGTCCAAATTATTGCAAAAAACGATGCAAGTGAATGTCAGCAACTGTTGGAAGCTCAGCTGACATGTACCAGTTCCGTGATCACAACAGCGGCTGTTGCTGAAGGCCAGCCTAGACCTGCTCTCTGTGTTTTCATACGTTCAGTTCCCGATGGACGCGAAGTCAGGCCTGAAGCGATGAGTAGACGCCACGATGTTGACCAGGAAGAGTCGAGCAAAAAAGGGCTGAGATGCGAAGAACCCACGGTGTCGGGCAGATTCTTTAGGAAGGCGCAATATAGCGGGTGTTGCGAAATCCACATTCCAGTCGGTCATGTCCTTGGGGTCCATTTATAAGGCACATTGGAGAGCTTTATTGGGGATCCCCGGATATCCGGGATGGCTTCTCGTCGTTTCTTCCAAGGAGAGGCCGAGTAGAAACTGAAGGTTTTCCTGCCCCGTAAGGCCGGTCCTTGCAGTTGACGTTGATGGGATGGAAAATAATGGAATGAACACCTCATGCTGGTGTTGCTCCCCCAACGCTGTGGAATCGGCGAGGGTTTCCAGGGTCATGACTCTTGAAGTCTTGGGGTTGAGGTCGCCCTGCGGAGCGAGTGTCGGAGCCAGGCTGCCAGGGTGCTGCCCGTAGTCTGCATGCACTGCATGGATCGGCAGTCGCTGGCCATAGGGCACTTCCTCCTGTATCGTCGCTCCAGCATCGGAAGGATTGCAAGAAGCTGCTGTGGCTGTCTCTCAAGGTTTCGAGTGCTGACAGTTGATCATCCTATGCAGATCAGCGAGTGAGGTGGATGGCTTGCTGTCTGAAGTTGGTCGATGTCTGCTGGGCTGCCTCGAATCCCGCAGAAAAGATGGGGGATGCTCGTGAATGAACAACCAGCTGAGCCAGTTCGAGAAGAAGAGTGTGGCGGGCATATCGACCTCGGCTGAGATGTGGCTCTGCACCGAGCCCAATCAGAATAGTGGGAAGGTACATAAGACAGAGGCAAGAAAGGACGTTGGAAGAAGGCACGAAGGGTCTGGTCGAGTTACAGCTCACCTGCCACGCCGGGGGTCGGCAGGCTGGTTACGCAACTATCTGAAACTTGTGGGTCCCTGTTCCAAACATAGCACAACTCAGAGGTGCAGCCACGAGTCTTCGTACCGCGACGTGTGCCGCTGCCACAAAGGGCTGCCAGATGCAGATGCAGATGCGCTGCTGAATGACAACCGCCCTGTCACTTTTGACTTTTGTACTCCGTACCTAGTCATTGTACGGAGTACCTCGTAAGGCAAGGAAGCGCTGAGAAGGTACGGCGCCTCGCTATGCTTGCTCCTTGCCCACCTCAGGCTTAAATGTCCGATCCGTAGGTGTACAAATACTGGCGACTGTCCTCTTCGGCGGGGAAAAGATTCGGAAGATGCAGAAAAAGAAGGCTGGCATTGCTGACACAGCCTCAAAGCCGGAACTACTGCAAGCCTACTGCACCCTGCTCAGTCTCCCGTTTGGTGGTGTGCCATTGTGCATCCCCCTCTTTCGCTCTCACTGGGCCACCTCCCACACACTCCCGTCACCGTGATCCACTCGTTCAAGAGAGGCCTCGAGTCTGAGAGGCGGGCAGTGTTTTGGGTCCTCTTCACTGCCAACCACAGAGCCGTTCCTCCCTCTATACGGAGTATCTTACGTAGGTACCTATGGACCCAACCCGGTGTGGTGTTGGTTCAGCGCAAGCCGCAAGGTACTCTGCCTCCCACTTGGCGGGCTTGGGCAGAAAACAGAAACAAGACCAGGAAGGCTTGTGTTTGAAAGCTGGGCTGTTTAAAAGAAATAACCTCCTCGCATCCCCCCCTTCGTATCGTGAGAACGTGTCCTGTTCCTGTTACTAGATTTCATCCCTCGACCGACGACATACGAGCCTGAGGTAGCCCTCCCTTCACTCGTTTCCCCTCCCCTATAACCCCTTAGGTGTCACAGGAAGTCTCCTTTCTGCGCTTCGACACTCAAACACCCAAACCATCTTCTACTCACCTGGTCATCCGAAGTAGTGAAGCTCAGGTTGAGTGCACAGGCATTCTCCCAGCCCGCTAACTCATAACTCGTCTACCGCGCGCCTGAGGTCAACCTGCAATTACCTCTTACGACCTTCTTCTCACCTCTCCTTTGCGGCTTCGCCCTCTCAGCTTACTACCTTGGTGACTTGGTCTCATTCAGAGAGGCTGGCTAGTCGGGGCTTAATTTGCTTGTTACCCGACCCACCGCGCTCACGGACACCCTGCACTGTATCCATACCTCAACTCAATCACTCCATCCGTCTTCCAGGCTTAGCTCGGGCTCATCGATCCACGCCAAAACGCTGCATCGAACAAATATCCACGACCCCCCGACCGCGTTACGACACACCTCATTTCAACCCTCCCGCTGTCACATTTCTCCGCGCCCCATCCCTTTCCGGTCGGTACCTGAGCCATTCTCTATCTCGCACTAGTCCGATTCGCCTTGCCTGCCTTCGCTGCCCGCCGAAGCCTAGTTCAGCCACTCCAAGCGAGATTTCGACTCTCAGAAAAGGACGAGACCTCGCCCAGATTCCCATTCCCCTGGTCTCACTTAATTCCAATCCCTTCGTAATTGGCATCCGCCGACCCAGCACACATCATGGCCGCCAACGACTATTACCAGAACAAACCGTTACCCCCTCCAGGAGCTTCTCCCTCACCTGCTCCCTATTACGGCGGTGCTGCCTACAACAACATTCCCTCAGCCAGTTCAACGCCCGCTCCTCCCTACAGCTCAATAACTCCCGCGCCCGGCGCCAGTCATCCACCACCACCGCGCGCCAACACCGTATCCCCCTTCGAAAGCGTCTTTGACGATCATGTTTACCCCGTAGACTCGACACAGGACGGATTTCGCCATAACGGAAACACACAGAGCCCTCATCCTCAGACCACGAACAACATGCAACCCCAACGCATGAACACGATGAACACAGTAAACACAGCCTACACTGGCCACGGCCAGACGCCCTACAACAGCCACGATGCCCACCAGCAGAATCCTTACGCTCAGCCGGATACAGCTTACTACGGCCATTCTACTTCTCCAGACTCGAGCAGACAGAATGTGGCCGACGAGATTCCCCTGCAAAGCCGGCAGCCGACGCAGCCGCACAAGGATGTGGAGATGAACGAGAATGACCATGTCTACGACGCACCTGCGGGAACTCGTCGCTCAAAGAGCCGCCGCGACAAGAACAAGATTGGATTCGGTCAGCTGGGCATGTTTGGCGCCGACAGAAAGGGTATTCCGTGGTTGGTCTACATTTTCACATTGGTGCAGGTCGCAGTCTTCATCGCTGAGATTGTGAAGAATGGTAAGCCAAATCAAGTAGTTAGATTTGACGGCAATGACACTAACGGAACACAGCTCAACTCACCGGCTCTCCCATCATGATCAAGCCCTCATTCAACCCCATGATTGGACCTTCGACCTACGTTATGATCAACATGGGTGCTCGCTATGTAGCTTGCATGCACAACGTCAAGGGTATCCAAGATTACGGCCAGCAGATCAACTGGCCATGCCCGAACTCGACCTCGAACGACGTCGGCAACCCGTCGAACGAGTGCGGCCTCGCCGATTTGTGCGGCTTTGGGCGTGTGCCGGAGCCAGAGTCTCCCTACAACGACATCAATCAGTCGCCGGAACCAAACCAGTGGTTCCGCTTCATCACACCCATCTTCCTGCACGCAGGTCTGATCCATATTGGGTTCAATCTGCTTCTGCAGATGACGATGGGTAAGGAGATGGAAATAGCTATCGGCTCGATCCGCTTCTTCTTGGTCTATGTAAGCGCGGGCATATTCGGCAACGTTATGGGAGCAAACTACGCTGGTGTAATGGCTGCGTCGACGGGTGCTTCAGGCGCCCTCTTTGGCGTGATTGCCCTCACCCTGCTCGACCTCCTATACTCCTGGAAAGACCGCCGCAGCCCCGTGAAGGACCTGATGTTCATCATGCTGGATGTGGTCATCTCTTTCGTGCTGGGTCTGTTGCCAGGACTCGACAACTTTGCCCATATCGGTGGCTTCCTGATGGGTCTTGCGCTCGGCATTTGCGTCTTGCATTCACCCAACTCCTTGAGACGCAGGCTTGGCGCTGAGGATCCGTCATACGCATCCATGCACCTCACTCCCAACCAGGGTGGCCCGCCTCCGTTCCTGAAGAATCCCATCGGGTTCTTCAAGGGCAGGAAGCCACTCTGGTGGGCATGGTGGTTGGTCAGAGCCGGCTTCTTGCTGACTGTCATCATCGTCTTCGTCGTCCTACTGAACAACTTCTACGTCTACCACAACACTTGCAGTTGGTGCAAGTACCTCAGTTGTATTGTGAGTTATCTGATGACCCATGTTCAAGATTGTCTGCTAACCTACAATCAGCCTGTAAACAACTGGTGCGAGCTTGACCAGTTGAAGCTTACTTCATCATGAAGAGTTGACATCTGAAGGAGGAATACCCGAACTAATGCTACGAGAGTCTGCGTTGCATTGGTTTAAGGACTTTGGCAAGGATGGTTCATGATTTGCATTGCTCAGCGACGGCGTCCGGTTCACGATGGGTTATTTTATGAAAAAAGAAAGAAGGAACTTCTCCCATACGTCCAACAGAGACAAATCGTCTTCATAGGTAGAGCCACACATAGCGAACGCATAGCGGCTGCGGGGGTTTGCCAGGGTTCTATTCGCTGCCCGCTGACCGACCAACCGTCTCGGCATCACATAGTCGCATCGTCCTCGGACGTGTTTGTTGACGCCCCTGGTTTACCCCGCACATATCATTCGATGGGCTGTACGAGGTTTTACGTATTGAAAACCCAACCCGGTCCTAATATGAAAACATAAATGAGTGCTTCTTCCCCCATGGTTTCTGTGTCTACCTGTCTGTTCTGTTGAGAAAGTGAGGCCGCCACGGTCGCGCCCACAGACCCAACTCCAAGAAATTCCTTACGTCGCCATGCGTCAAAGGCTGTCCCACCACGCCAAAGCAAATGTTTCGGAAGTGACTGAGAGTAAGTTTGCTTCTACTTTTACAATCATGATGTTACCGGCACTCTCTTGATGAATCCTATTTGCATGGCTTAGCTGAGCGGTTGTGACAAACTGCCGTTGATGCCTCTAGAATGGATATCTGAAGACATTTGCAAGCAAACATGCCTCTCTTTTCCCTCTTTCTTCGCAATGGGACAGAGTTGATTGTTCGCTTCCTAAGTCTATGTGTTTCTACCACACTGCTGTACTTGAATTACATCTACTGTTGAGATTTTGTCAGCTAACAGGGATCATGTGTAGCAGTGCAACAACAGGTGCCAGGTCAATTCAGAAGTATTGCGTAGAAGCTTCCACATCTTGTAGTTATAACATTTGAACGGCCACATCTAGCCTTAGTCATAATACTTGAAAGTCCATGTTCGGGGCAGATTTCGCAAGAAGCCATTCAGCACTTTGATTGTCATTCTGGAGTACCTTCCGACCACGTCTTGGTTAAGATGACTGCTACCTAAGGTAGTACCTCTACAAAGATCACTCTATCGCTGAGGA